GTTTTGATGGCAGTGTTCATAGACTATTTTCAGTCTTACATCTGTATTTTTAACATGGCTGTTACTGTATTATGTAGTTATCAAATGCATTGTAATGTGCAGAGAAACATATTCAATTTTCTACTTACAAAATGGTCAACCCTGCAGTTTCTATGTATGATAAACCAAAGCTGCATGTTCTCTACCTGACTCTTTTTTCCCCTAGGTTTGCCTTTCATATAAGCAATATATCTTGTGCCATTCTGATTTTACTGCATCATTTTTAATTTTCAGATGTGATCTATTCAGATGCTTTAGTGAGGAGGATGGAGAGGAGATTTAATGGCAGAGGAACAGATCTTATGCAATTAACCAAGGAGGGATTTAATCATTTGTATAATAGCAAGATGCCATTGCTTCATTTCTCTGATAAGAAAGAGTACTTCTTACAGTGCATCAGTTCTTCTGGTGAATGGGCTTGTACAGTGTTGAAAGTGAGCACCAATGTTAAGAGAAAAAAATTGTCATGCGCTTTATATCATCCTTTCATGGCTTTCACATTACAGTATTTAATAAGCAAATAGTGCTGTTAAATATTTAGCAAAGGTTCCCTCAAAACCCTGCCATATATTCAAATGAGATTTCGAGACATTTTACAGCACATAAGTAAAAATTATGCTTTAGTTCTCAAAATGGTTGTAGCATGGCATATTTCGTAAAGGAAGTGCAGGACAACACGTCATAAACATGTTCAGCAGATTTCACACCAACAGAACGTCAGAATTGATTCTCATTTTTTGGATTAATAGTTCAAGCTGACTCCCGTTTTGTCAAAAGAAAGCTGCACTAAGTTTATTTGCATGGAATAACAGCATTATAGCATTCAGTAAAAACCCTGAAACTCACAGTGTGGTATCTTAAAGGCTCCTTACCAGGTCATCATTTTTAACAGTGAACATTTTCTGGATTGGGGGTGAGAGAAAAGCAAAGATCAAGTTGTTGCCCTCTTCTGAGGGTAACACTTTTAGGTTCTGTAGTATGCAAAATAGAGATTTAATAACATAGCTGCTGCATGATGTTGTTAATCAAACAATAATAAATCATTAGAAACCCTGTCTTTGACAAACGTCTGCATGTTTCATATCCTTGTTGTATGCTAATTAATCCTCAGTAAGTACTTGTATAATAATTAAATGTCTTGCACTTAAAGTACAGTCAAGTTTATTTATACTATTTAAGGAAGCGAATCTCATGTTGTCTTTGGAAGGTATTTGGGTTCCATACATGTTGCGATGGATCTGTTCCTTGGGATAACTCACAGATTTTTGCCCCTGTTTGTATTTAAGAGTAAATTACAGAGGTTGGGTGAGCCTGTCTGGCTATTAAGTCAGTAGGTTTGCTACTGCTGCCCGGTTGTGTGTGCTCCTGCCCCACGCAGAGGCAGCACAGCGGTTCTCCTGGCTGCAGTGACGGGTAAGGGACAGCTTTGCAGGTGCTCAGCTGCCTGGCTTGAGCCTCCTGCTCCTCTGTTTCCTGGGGATATCTCCAGTCCTTCTGTTTATTACTTAGTCTGTGACCTGTGTGCAAGAGCTTGGGCTCACTGAAGAACAGTATTTTTGCATGTTCCTATAAAAAATAAAGGCTACTGTTGGTGGGTATAAGACATATTTAGTATTGCACATAGTAGTTAGTTTAACCCCTGAAGGTGTAAAGCAGTGTTTTTCTGCAAATTTTATTTTCTGTTTGGATGGATATAAATATTTTTTTAAAAATTTCAATTTGTATCGGCTGTTCCTTTGTTTGTTTTTATTTACAGAAAAATCACTCACTTTGGAAGAAATACCAGTGTAGCCTGTTTGAAAATTATTTGAATCTACTTTAAAATGTTGGTTATATTTTTTTTGAGAAATCGTGTTCATGTGTGTGGCATATTTGTTTAAGTATTCAAAAAGTGAGGGTGTTTAATTGCATGCATGTGTGTGAATATATGGAAAGGCCTATATAGTTATATAGGGTAGACATACTTAATATGCATAGCTTGATGTATGTTGACCTCAGGTTACGAGAGTAGAAAATCCCATTTTCCAGCTTGTTTCAAATGTAGTAAAAATGCTGCTTCAGTTGCTTTATGCTACTCACATTGGGAAAGGTGCTTATACTGTGATAATTATCATCAAGGAATATTAATGCGTTCAGCATTTGTAACCCAAAAACTCATTATAGCTTAAGCTGTGCATCATCTGTGAAGAGAGAACTTTGCCAGAATTTGCTCTTCACAGGGGTTGCCTCCTGCTTGTGATGGAGTGGTCAGAGTATTGTAGGAGGTCACTTAGGCTATTTTTGAAAGCTCAAGTTTTGCAATTTTTGATTCACTACCTTCTGTCTAAGTAGCTTAGCATTCTTTCCCCCCCGCCCCAAAAAAAAAAAAAAAAGAAATTTGCTCTTTCTAATTGAATGCCTGGTGAACTGCATAAAGCTAAAAGATTGCATCTTATTATGTGCAGGAGGCTAAAGGTGTAGACATAAATATTGCACATCAAGGTCACAGAGATTTCAGAGTCCATATTCCATCACCATACATGGTACTTGCACAAGCACCACTGTCACTCATGCTAATGGGAACGAGTCATTCCAATCCTGTGTTCTTTGATAAGAATCTGGTTTCTTACTCATGTTAAACTCTTGATGCTTTTGGTAGCAAATTCCACTTCAGTATTTATGTATTCTGGGATTATATTTTGATTCCTTAATACTATTTCACCATGAAAATAAGATTTATCATTTTTACACCTCTCTTATCTTCCAAGCTCCTAAACCTGCAGTTTAACAGCCTTCACATTTCTAAAATATACTTGAGCAGTTCGTTCAAAGCATCAGAGCCCAATTCTTTCCTCACTCAATTTTCACACCAATGTCCCCCAGTTGATTGAACTGATTTACATTAATGTTGTTGAGAGGAGATTTAGTCCTGTAAGGCTTATTTTGTATTTTCATTAGTACATCTCGTTGTGAGAGTCTATACATGCCTGTACTTTACACTACCCGAAAGGTAGTAGAATGGTTACAGAATAAGATGGCTGAAATATCTAAAAATAAACAATCCCCTGCGATAAAGAATTTCTTTTTTTTGACTTGTAACTGAAATCTACTTTCCAACTAAGCACTCTTTGCAGATGAATATCTGCTTCCACCCTTGGTAATGGAGACTGTTGCAGTGCCAGAATTGTGTTGTTCAGTGCTGTTGTTGCTGGAATTTTTAATATGGCTGGGGTTTATTATTTTTCCTTCCCAATGCTGATACAATGCTTGTCATTTCTCACTCTTAATATTGCCCTATGTTGCATGTTGCAGTTTGCTTTATGTTAGGCAGAGAAGACTGGCTTTTGCAGACTGCTGTGCTTCTGAGGTCAGGATGTGAACCTGGCCTTGCTACCAGGAGGACTAGAAAAATCTATTTCATAACTTTCTGCAGGCCACAAAGAAGGCTAAGAAATAAAAAACCCACAAAACCCCCAGGCTTAGTTTAGACCTGGTGAAGAGTTAGATTCATCAAGAGAGAAAGCTTGCAGCTGATCAGCTTTTCTTGTCATAAAGAGTCCCTGCTGTCAGCGCATACTCCACTGATACAGCAAAGCTTTGGGGAGCCTTGCGAGTCTTTTCAACACCCACACATTTGTCCAGAAATACCTGAGTTGATAATATAGAAAGAATCTGCTGAAGTAAGAAATTGCTTGCCTATTAAATCACCAAAATGAAGGGCTCAAAAAATAGATAAACACACTCCTTGTGAGCTGAGTGTGCGTATTACGGGCTTGCCCAGTTCACTGGTGGGGCATAACTTTGGTTTGTGCAGCAGAGTGCTAATGCCTTGTAATGAATGGCTGTCTTGAACCAAGGAGAGATTCTCAGCAGGTGAGAACACTGTTGATGGGAAATAATATGGTACCGTATCTGCTGTGTGAATGTAAACTTAATAATCACTATGAATTTTGAGTAACCCTGTTTCTTCCCTTCCGAAGAAACATTATGAAGATATTGCTTCCAAATCCTTCTGATACTTACTGTTCTGGTGATAGATGCCTTAGTCTTTACCTTAAGGCACTGGAAATAAATGTATGTTCTTTGCAAGAGATAAGGATGTAGACTTTCAAAGGAGCAAATTGTATTTTCATGTTTAAGTTCACCATTTGCACTTGATGTGGTGAAAGCCAGATGTGAGGAATTACTTTTCAACATTATTTTTTCATCTTCTGTATCTCAAGGATTTTGCGTTATTATGCTAAAATGTTCTATTACATGTAATAAAGAAATGTTGGAAAACTGGAAATAGAGCAAGATTGCCTCCATCAATTTGGCTGTACTTGGATTGCTCTAGCTACATCTTAAATCACAAACCAGATCATCTTTGTGCAACATAATAATGTTACTGAAAAGACCAAATAATCTGCATTTGCTGATGGCATGAAAAATGAAACCATTTTCCAGTTTTCACAGTTCCTCCTTTTAATCAAAAGGGAAAGTGCTGGGATTGTGCCTTATCCTGCTTACACTGACACAGTGAGCTACTAAGAAGGTGGTTATGATGAAGTGTGAGCAAATGCTTATGACAAAGCAAATGAATTTAGAACTAGGACCAGCTTTTTTTTTTTTTTTAATGTTAACGTTCACTCTATGCTTATTTAATTTTTTCTTTTCAATGTTATAACTATTTGTCAAAATTCTAATTAAAGTACTGTGGAAGATGGGGAATAAGCATGGAGGCAGCATGTGCTTTTCAGCCATACCCCACAAATACTTGCAACATTTTTGAATTCATCTGGATCAAGTTTCATGCACAGCTCTTTTTTTTTTTTTTTTTTTTTTTAATTTAAAAAATCTTAAAACTATCTCAGTTTTTTTTAGGCTCTTTATATAAAAAAGCTCCAAAAGAATGTTTTTCTATATGATTTATTTTATACAAATCCAAACGCTCAGAGATTTATTGTATGTGTAAACCCGAAACTGAGAAGATTAGATATTGT